CTAGCATTTCAATGCTTTTTTACTTTTATTTTTCATCAATTTTTATCAATTTTTCAAATCTAGCAGCTTTTAATTAGCAACCATAACATTGAGTATCAAGAATGGAGTTCATTTGAAGATGGAATACAACTATGTAAATGAAAGATATCTAGAATGGTCATTCTCCCCCTTATATAGATCTAAGCAACAAGTGTGGGAAGCTAAGATTGCTCCCCACACAAAATTAACTAGATTTTGCCATTCTAATTGGTTTACACAACATGTTTGCTATAAAGTTGATGGAAAAAGGATTGTGTAAGTAAGCTAGAAAACTATGTCAGAGTAGGTGTGATAAAATCGTAATAGCACTAAGTGAAAAGTTAGCTGTACACTTACCTGGTATTTGGTTTATTCTGAATTAATTTCAAACTAGAAGAATGTGTTAGCTACATTAGATCCGAACCTTCTAAGTTTAGATCTAGTTATCCTGGAAGCCTTGGATAGGATTTTTGTAAGGCTAGGTGGGACAAGAGAGGCTACTGGCGGCAGAAAGCGGTGAGCACATGGTCGTCGCCTACGAAATTCTCGGCAAGTGATATCTCGGAATTTTTGGTGGCGGCTAGGGTTTCGAAGACAGTCATAGCCGTTGCAGTTAGGTTTAGAGTTTTCAGTACTTAAACCCTCTTGGGATTTTGTGTGGGACTCTTCTTTTGCTTCTTTATGCAACTGGGTTCTGTTTAAGGGGTTCTGTTCTATCCTGTTCTGTTCAGCTCTTGTGTTTTCTACATGTAACGTCAGGCCCAGGGTCTTGCCAAATCAGTGAGTGCTGCAGGACCGGATCCGTAAGTTGGTGAAAGTAAGTCCCGGATCCATTTCCAGAGAAAGATTGATGATGAATGTGTTCTAGTGTGTAGTGGGAGGGTCTCCTCATTGTCGTGTTTACCTATATAACGTTTGTGTGGGATAGCCGCTGCTATGATTGGGTAGTATCTGGTGGGGTGCTCCAGGGAGGAGAACTCCGGATATACGCCGGTTTGATCTTCTGATGAGGTTCCACAGTACCTAGACGGGATAGGTCAGAAGATGGCACGTGGCTCCCACTTATCCTATACTTGCAACCTCCACTCTAATTTTAGTCCGAATGTCGTTGTAGTCCCTGGTTGGAGTTTGTGGGGATCTTTTGCGTGACCTACTAATTCGGATCTAGCAGTCTGGAACAGTTGTGAGAAGTTAACTACACCTCTTGTTTTTGCTTTTTTTTTTTGTTTTTTTTTTTTCATAGTGCCTCTCCCGTCACTTTAATCACTGGGAGTGTAATAGCCATCCTTCCACAATACCAACGGCACCCTCTGATATAGAGGTAAAACTTCTATTTTGTCACTTGTTACATTTGTTGACCCTTGGTATCCGAAAAGCTAATGGCATGAGACTTGGACGTCTTGATCCAATTTTCGGTGTATCATCTGTGAGGTTTCAATCTCATGTCATTTTGGTTGTAGTTTCGATTTGTTGTCCATAAATACCACGTCTGGAAACTCCTACTACTCCTTCTACTTCACAAGATTACCGCAACGAACACTCGAGTCTCTATTAGTAAGTTTTTTGCAAGTTGAATGCTTTGAACAATATCGTGTTCCGACAACAAGTAGAAGGAGATAAAATCTCATTGCCGCTATTCATTTCACTCCTAGTGAATGTACAGCATGGCGGATAATGCTAACAAGCAAACACATATTGCTGACGTATCACTCACTAACTAACACATTCAATTCTTATATAACAAGCACACAAGTAGCCGTCAACTAACACATTTATTCTTTACCAAGAAAATCAATTGTTGACATGACAACTATAACTTCATCTTGAGTAAATTCTTCTTTACTTCTAATTAGTTGAAGATGTGTGCATCATCTCAGCACTTTGTATCAAACTATGTCTATGTTATTATGACATTTTTTTATTTATTTTTTATCATTTTCACGCTTCATAACACTTCTTGAACTCAAAGTTTATTATAAAGTCATCTAATTAGCAAGAAGTCATCAAACATGTCTATTTCTTCAATTTCGTATATATCTAAATTAGTTTCAAAAGCAACTATAATTTCCAAAACGTTTGTGTTAAAATTGCAAACAAAGTGCGTTTATGATGCATCTTACTCCGTAAAAATAGTAGGGAGATACTTTTTACTCCTATATCCATAGATTAAAAACGTTGATCAACAGTTGCATTACTATTTGCAATATGACACTTTAGACCCTACTAACTTTCACAATTGTTTTTTTCAAGTAATAACAACAAAAGTGTATGTTTGATAAATGCAAGAAGTGATGGAGGAGATGCTAAAGATCCGAGTGCAATATGAGTTGGGAAAGTTATGAAAGGTGATATCACTAATGATTTTTAGGAGACAGTTTGACATAATCTGATATTGTTTGTTCTCAATGTATTTCTATCTCATCATATTTGTTTTACCAGTGATCAAAAGTTGCCTTCACAAGTTCTTGGACTATGGTAATTAAAGAGAGAATATGAGTCTATAATTGTAGAAAAAGCATCAAGCATCACAATGCAAAAGGTTGTAATCACTACAAAGCATCAATGAAGAACTTGCAAGAGAGCAAAGGATATGTGAACTAAAGCAAAAATTGACAGATGTAGGTTTTTTGGAGAAAAAATATTAACAATATTCTGAAGTAACGAGAAAGAAAAGAGATAGAATATATGTGTTCTTATACAAAAAAATTACTTGTTGGATTCCTACGGAACACAAAAATTTGCTGAGATCCAACACGATTCATTTCACCTAATGTTATCCACCACTATCCTGTAACCCACCTTTGCCCATGTTTCAATACGAGTTCTAGTAATCTGATAGATATCGGCTACTTAGCCAAAGTATTTTCACAGGAGTACTTCAACTATAAGGCTGAGATGTTCTTGTGAAAACACTTATGGACAACTCTAATAGTAAATGAAGATGCTAGAAATGCATCATATGAGCAATAAATTTAGAGCAAGTCCATCAGACAAGTAGTTTTACAATGTTTGTTTTTCATCAACTTTCTAGTCATGACGAAATACAATTTAGAACAAACAATCTTGTAATAAAAATTGTCATCCACACCTTGACATTGGTATACTAAAGCTAAAGTTGTGATCTTTGTCTTCCCTCACTCTTTATCATCATTTTGATCATTGAGTGAGCTCGTTTCAGCTACCTGAATTCTGACATCATAGCTTTAAGGTAGATTTTGTTTCGATTGTCTCTTTTGATGAGATTTGAAATTTCGAATTCACATTCAAGAGAGTTCGCGGGTATTTTAGGAGCTCTGTTGGACAGTACTCTATCAGGTTCTGGAATTCTGTCACTAACATTGGGTTGTATTTAATCTAGAACTCGAATTCAAACATGGGTGAGGGTGTGTGCTGCATGAGGGGTCCCATCCGATAAATTTTGGCTCTCAACAAGTGACAAGACTCGAAGAAGAAGCCCCGGCTAACTCCGTGCCAGCAGCCGCGGTAAGAGCGGGGGGATGGAAGTGTTATGGAATGACTAGGCGTAAAAGGCACGTAGGCGGTGAATCCAGTTGAAAGTGAAAGTCGCCAGCTTAACTAGTTTCAAAATTTTGAAACGCATTTTTCAAGATTTTTAGAACTAAAACGGTTTGATGATGCATCATACATGAGATATTAAATTACGATAATAAAGTATAAAATAACATTTTTTATTGAAAAAAATAGAAACCTTCGGGGCTCCCCCCTGTTTTCTCGCCATTTGCTGGCTGGTGTGCCTTCCACAGCCTTGTGGTCCGCAGGGTCCCATCGAGTACCTAAACAAGCAACCCGATGATCGATGACAATAAGCTTCTAACCATCCTAAAGAGAACGGCATTTGGAGAGATGAAGTTATGTTCTAGAGAATTGAATATAATGAAGTGTATGCCATGAAGAAGTTGGAAATGCTTAGGAAAGTACATGTGGAGCATGTAAAAATGTGCAATGCTTGGAGATTGAAAGCAATTGTATTGTTTGAACTTTATTATTCTTTCCAAGATGATGAATATCTCTATTTCAGAATACATTATTTTCCTAGAGAAGACATGATGATTCTTCTCATGTGGAAGAATATCTTGATAGAGAATGAGGCTAGATTCTATGTACACTGTTTTGGCAATTGAATCCATACAGAACTACAGTCATAAGAATATTGAACCAAATAATCTCTTCTTGGACAAAATATTGCTTCTTGGACAAATGAAATTCTCAGACTCTAGATTTTGTAAATTGCTATTTTCTAGTAACATGAGTAGTGGTTGAAATAGCTAGAAAATAGTGTGTGAGTATAGGTGCATGCCGTCTAAATTTCAAAAATAGTAAATATCGCACTTGTCGAAAATGACAAGTATTAAAATAATTGTATGAAAACAGGGGTGAGCAGGTATGAAATATCAAGTGATGATCTACTTGAGGAGGCAAGAATGACAGTGGCTACAAAAAGTTGACTACAAGTACAATTGGGAAAAAGACGTGTTGGAAGACAAAATTGGACACTTTGAAACAGATGTATAACACTTTCTTACTTAAGACATTTTATGTACGTGAACTTCTCGCTAAATACTTTCGAACACAATTGTAGACAAGAATAATTTGATGGATCAGGGTATTTTTGCTAAAATTGAGATATAATATTGGGTGGGTGTCAAGGAATTTTTCACGCTTGAGAGTCATCTTTTGATCGGATTTGACGATAATTTTGACAAAAACGAGATATCATGTATGTTGTGATCCTTTCAATTTACAAAAATTCAATTATATGTCGTCTATCCGTCAGTTGTGGGCAGATTACATACCTGGCACACGAAACTAATTAGACGAAAAGATGATTCCCTTCAATTTCAGAAACAAAGATATACGTCGGTACGTAATGCACACTTCCAGACATCCACATGTCTACTCATAACACGTTGCGCCCAGAGCTAAACAACAGATCGAAAAGAAAACGAGAATAACGCAAAGACCACAACAAAGTACACATGATGGAAAAAAGTGCTTTACATGATCCTAAATTCTAATTACAACAAATTCTTTCTACAACTATCCTGACCAGCCCCTAAAACTAGCTTTACCAGCCCAAATTTCTACACATGAATGAAGCGTCAACATGAAGTGCCAGAAGGGCCTGTCCTACGAGATTGCTTGTAACCCCTAAACTTAGATCCCCCAGCCCAAATTTCTACCTCAAGCTTTCCATCGTATAAAATGCCATCCAGGCCAATAACGGCGAGATCGCTTGACCACAAAAAGGTTCCTACTTCAAATTCTATCAAGGGCTCCTGGCCCAATCTTAGAGAAATTGCTGATCAGGATTTTGAAATGGTTTCATTAGGAGAGCTTTCTAACGCCACTGACACAGGCCCATCCGCAATCCTGAGTCACCTGAATATTATCCAGATAACATGCATAGGTATGTCGGACTTGCTCAACCTGCGAAGGGATACATGCACATCGTCAGAAGGATACACGTCTTCACGACAGTCCAAGAAATCACAGGCGCTGAATATGTAACAAGCATTTTTCTATCTGACAAGAGCATACACTGCTATAGATGCTTGGTAAAAAGGACGACTGTCGCCAGCCCAGTGCCCCAAGGTCACAGGGTGGTACAATGACATCGTCTCTCAAAACAATTAGCTCGAAATAATAGAAAACCAACGAACCTGCTCAACAAGAATTCCTGAGAGACCAACAAACGCCCCGGGTCTAGCGTAGTTCGCAATTCGACTCGCTAAGTCCACAAGAGGGTTCAACAAGATATTCGCGATAACAATATCGAAGTCTGGGGACATTTTATTATCCGGGCCTTCGTCCATATCGTTGTCAAAGACGGGATGATATGCTGCACCGGGGGGGACGGGATCCTCCCCATTGATAGATGCTAAAAACACCTGCAGCCTCTGATCATCCAAATCATTCAAAGAAGCATTGTAGCGGGCCGATGTGATGGCCATAGGATCAATGTCAATACCGACGGCCCTGGAAGCTCCCATCTGCACATCACCACGAAACCTGCGAGTTCAGAAGTTTGATAACTTAGCCTAATTGAACTAAAGGCGATGAAAAAGGGCCTCTTAGTGAAGAAAAAGCAGATGATACCAGTTCGGGATCGAATAAATTGTATCTGTAGCGCTAACTAGGAAGGAAGTATACCTTCAGTGCAGCTATGGAGAGAATACCCGAGCCGGTCCCGTAATCCAACATCCGTTCTCCACCTCTAAGAACTTGGTGAAGTAACTGCAAACAAAGACGAGTAGTCGGATGTTCTCCGGTTCCGAAAGCAAGGCCTGGATCCAGTATGACGTTCACTGCCATTGGATTCTGCAACAACGAGTGGTAACGTCAGAAAGTTTCCTCACAAAAATTAAATCAAGCGCATTGACGTCTGTCGCAATGCTTCATAATATTAGGGTTTCAGGCTCATGATTGAAATGCTGAAACTAAACTCCATGACGATCCAAAACTGCGGACCAGTAGGCCGTCAATCTTTGCAGTCCAGAGAGCACACACATGCTACCGCATCTAGCTTCCTATCCACGACATCATACACTGCTACTACGAAGGTGGTGCGATTGGCCTACCCTTTACGACTCTACTGCTCTGCTCGGCGCAATGTCATTTACGCGACAATTATGAAAAGCTCCAGAGTTAGTATGACTTACAGGCGGTGCCCTCCAGTTCGGGACGATCCACAAGCCGGCTGCTACCTCGACGGGCTCGAACATACTCTGCTGACACAGACCATATTCAGACACATCAAAACAGCGCAATGGGTGTTGAGGAGAGAGGACAACCATCCAGCTAACGCTACCTAGACATACATGGCTAAACTGGAGTTGTACATTAGCCATTCTTACATAATCTCACTATAGGAGGACGGACGGAGACATGTGGTGAAAGGAAGTTCAGGCATACCTAAACTGGGCCAAGATGCTTTCGGGATGCTGTGTTATCACACTACTGAGCTCTAACTAGTAACATGTCATAAGTTGTCCCCTCAGTACGTAGCTTTGGATATCCAACAGTAACACATCCTGTCCGATCTTACACATAGCCTGACTCTGTCGCGAAAGCTCCTCTTACAGGTTTGACCAACACTGCCTAATCCTCCAACGATTTAAGAGCACTTGATCCTCAGTATGGAGCTCTGTAGTTCCATCAGTAACACAGCATGTCCATTCTTATTTCTGGCCTGACTCTGCCGCAAAAGCGCCTCTTAGAGGTTTGACCGTAACTGACTAATCTCCAACGATTTAAAGGCACTTGATCCAGCAATCTGGTGAATAATAATCTGATGCCATACTCCTGCTCCTCCAAAAGAGTTAATCCCAAACAAAGATGAACCCGATAACATAGTAAGAGGATAGGTTACCACAGGAGGGGGTTTCCATTTTCAATCTCATGCAAAACCACCCAGGAAATATTCAACACCAGATAAATTGACAAAAAATGCCAATGGAATGCCAAGAAATCTCGTTGTAACGCCTAGCATGTGTATGCCAAACCCACTAACTCCACTTTGGCGCAACGATTAAGCAGCTTCCCCAAGTCTCTGGACGTCCTTGTGGCCCGGAAAAAAAGTACGGAACGACCTACAGATGAACAGACTATCCTCTTATGAATCCTGACGAACTTCTAGTGGGCCCCCTAATGATTACTCTCTACCTCACTCCTGCTTTGGTGGTGGCTACAGCGGAACCTACGATGGAACGCCTATGTGAAGCCCGGAACCTAAAACATGATGGAAAGTTCCCCGTTCTCTTAGAGAAACCTACGCGCACATGAGATTTAAGAAGGGAACCTCAGACACCACTAACTCCACAGGAGAACTTACGAACTCCACTTACGGTACATGATGGTGGTGAAGGTCTTCACTTACACAGCGAATTAAAACGAGATAAGCTAGATTAGGGCGGACCTAGACTACAACGATGAACATGGACGCGACGTTGTGATGGACTGAACACAACACCTACTAGAAGCAAGGGAAGACGCGACACGAGACTCGATCCTTTCAAACTTAGATGGAAAAACCACTTGCAAAACGAGCCACATTCTAGGAGCCGAGACCTGGTTGATCCACTTTTACACCCTACAACCATTGTCAGATCAATCTTTGCATCGCAGATGGAAATCAAGGCCATTAGATCATGATAATCAACTGATCAAGTAAATGTGTTCCAAATCATCTTCTCCACTTGGCACACTGTACGAGAGTACATGAATAGTTAGTAGATACCTGAAGCTGTTCAATCCAGTCTTGATCCTCCATCAACTCTACAACATAATGGGGCATCTCATTGAAACCAATTGAGTGGGATGCCATAGCGATGGACTCCCCGACATCCTGTTCCTCTGGAAATATTGCAGTGATGTGACTCTGCAAACGACAATGAAATGCATGATTCGTCAAAAGATTCAGACAAGAAAAACTAATGGATTCTGCTACAAGAACGCCACTGCCTGTCCCCAGCAACGTACTCTAGCTTCACAGGAGCACCTCCGAGAAGAAACTTTTGTTCCTTACTCTCAGGAATCTACCTAATTCCATCATGACACCACCTTGCGTGTCGATGTTCCCAACTCTACGCCTGAGCATCAGATTAAAATTCTGGTTTCTAATAATCTCGAGCATCTTGTTGAAGCTATAACTCCATTGACAGATACCAGCTCCTTGCAAGTGTGTTCCTACATCTTCAAGAATAAGCTCCTTACACAACTGCCACCTAGTAAAAATGTCAAGAACTGCATGCTAACAAACGAAATGATACACACAAAACTTCAAATCGAGATTCACTTCCGCAAGGTTGAATAAAGGTAAACTCAACCACACAGAATACCACTACTGAAGAGCTCACCTCCTCCCACAGCTGACGCTCTCCTGTCTGCCACGGAACAGGACCGTCTGTATAGATCTGATTAAGTATCACACCAAAAGTGTCACTCGGTATCTCAAATCTCCTAGTACCAAAAGTAAAAGTAAAAAAGCTTAATGTAAAATATCATAAACCAAGAAAAGTCTCTTCGCGATACCTCCTGCTCGTTGGTGCTCCCATAGTGGGCATCCTCTATGCTGCATGAGCTTGCTCCAAAACACATCAAAGCTTCCACAAGCCCATCCTGTAGTATGTAAAAACACCAATCAAATGACTGCCACTTCAAGCCTAGACCGGCTAAAACAGAGTTTCACGAGAAGGACGGAAGACTACCAAAGAAGTGAGGAACAAAAGTCGGCAGTGAGGACAATACACCAATAAATGCGAAAATATGATGTCCGCAGTCCTCCACAACAACCAATTCTACCTGCGCTCTTGACTCTCTAGTGGAAATGGATTACACTTCCGAATGATCAACACGAGACCTTCTACAAAACTAGCCGTAACATATGTACACGTCATTGTACGGACCGTTGGCTTAGATAAGTGCCAGAGAGACATTAACAAGACTCTGAGACAAAATGAATCCAATTTAAGAATTGGACTTTAGGACTCACCGCAATGTCACCCCGGCACCGGATTCTCACAGACTGCATAATGAACGGCTTCTTCTCTTCGGAATCAGATGACTTCTCTTTTACGACGACTGACTCGCCAGCAGTGGTGTGTGCGCAGAAGCTCCGGCCCACTCTTCTGCTATTCAACCGCACAGCCAAATTCACCATCTGGTCAGACACATTTTTATTGGGAACCAACACCCTGGTGCCTAAGACCCTCTGAACAGAATTGTCTCGATATTCCTGAAGACCAGCAGTGGGAGTTCCAGCGTGTAGAAAACCTCGCGACAAAGTCACGTCACGGGCCCTAAGGCTACGCCTTATTCTGCCGGATGCAATCGAAGGGGATAGGATAGACACCATACGAGAACTGTGACTGAGCAATCTGGGAAGATATGTATGCATTCTCTTTCTCTTTCTTCTCCTTCGTCTACCAACTCGACTCTTCCTCTCCGTACTCTTGTAACCGTCACTTCCCACCAACCCACAACCAAACCGCCCACCGATTGTGAGTGGAACCCAATGCGCAGTATCTAGATCTCAACCTGGAACAGATCTTACGAACGGGTCCTTTTCCTTCTTTTCGGCTAATTCTGCAGAACACACCAGATCTTCCAAACTGACGGGTGCCCACTGCTTGTGCGGCTGCTGACTCGCGCTAGTGAACGAACTGCTTCTCCCCTAACTCAGAAGCTCAGTCTCCTCACCCCACCGGTCCTAGTCCTCACTCCTGTCCTCAGTTGAGCAGTCTGCTCCTAATCTCCAGATCCTGAATTCTGAATTCTCACAAGACTGCCGACTGCTGCTGTTCAGGTACCTAGAGAGAAATCAGAGTCCAAATCTCACCTCAAACAAAGAGACTAATTTGGATCTGACGCCACTTAGACACAACAAAACCTACTCGATCCCTTCCCGCCTCTCTCCGACCAGATTGCCTCGTCGACAAAGCGTCCCAACCTCTCTCTTTCACTTCCGTCCCTCGGACACACCGCCGCATGCAATAAATCGCACTCCCACCTCCTTCCCTCCCTCCCTCCCTCTCTCGATACCCAACAAACGAAATCAGCTCTGACGAGAAACTCTACAGACTCAACAAAACAAACAAGACGAGGATCCCGCCACACCTCACGAACAGACCTGGCACGCGCAAATCCAAATCAATCGACACCGGTGGGCGCAGTGCAATATCCGGACGACGAAGCGAAAGACGAGACGCCCAGCAATTGGATACGACTTCGACAAGTGCTCCTTTGATGGTGATGGTGGTGGTTGATCTTTCCCTCCCTCCTCCCTCCCTTCCTTTTCCTTCCCTCGTTCCTTCCTTCCCTCCCTCCCTCCCTCTGTCTCTCGGCTTCTTCGTCCCTCGGGTGAAAAAAGTTTCGAGCACGACGGGGCCAGATCGCACACTCGTCTGCTTTACTCGCGCGCCTGCTTCTGTCTTGCTGGTGACCTAGCGGACGATGGATGATCACCCCGCCCCTTCCCCGTTCCGCGTTCCTCTCTTTTCCTTCCCTTTCCTTCCCTTTCGTGGGTCGGCCCGTTGGTCGGTGCACACTCTCCCGCGCGAGCTTTCGGCCACAGGGCCGCCCGCCTTCCGTTGCCTTACCTTAGCTTCAACTTCCCGCTGCGGTCGCCTGTTCCGCTGCATGCTCTCCCGGACGCCGACCAGTTCGCATTTCCCCGTCAAAATCTCACCCCGCGCCAACGGGGTTTAGGGTTTTGCTCCCCTCCCACTTGCCAGATGGATGGCTTTCCCAGGTTCATGGACGGTACCGCTCTGCTCTGTAACGTCCTCTTTCCACCGATGTTTCTATTTATACAGAACGGGGCTTCATTCAGCTATTATCCTTGTTCAGCTATTATCCTTATGCTCACCATCATAATAACAATTATTTATCCTCTGATGTTCCGAGGTTCTAGTATGTTGAATAGAAAGAATGCCGTTTTCTCTTGGAAAGCGGCATGTCATTGTGGCTGAGCGATTCACCTTTATTGGCCAAAAATGTTTGAAAATATTAGATATATGTTTGACGACAAGATTGCGTACATGCGATTTGCTGATTCCAAACTATGGAGCATAGTGTAGATCTAACTAATGTGCATTTGATGTATCCACAATCTCAAAGTATATGTATTTACTTTCAAACTTTAGTTTCATATCTAATCTATCTGCAATTTATTTTTATTTTATAAGAAGAAAGTATTCACATTTAAGTGCGAGTGGCGATTTGCTCTGCATTGGATGGTGATGTACACTAGATGCATGAAATTGTTGCCTTATTTAATATGCAATACCGATTCCTAATACATTCACAGGACAAATACCTAATATTTATGATATACCTGTATATAAACTGCTGTAGCAGCAAAACATGATCAGCCTTTTGGTAGAAGACATCTGTTTAGCAAACTTGACTGAGTAAATCCAGCTATTCCACTGAATTTGTTGTAGGACCGTTAAATTCAAAAGGCTAGATTCTTGTTTCAAGTTCCACTTCCCTGTCATGTCACTGATATCCATGTTCTGTGACACTGACCATCCATATAAAGTGACGATATACTTTCAAACTTGGAAAAGGATTTAAATTCTGGAGAATTTCACGAGAAGCAGAATATTTTTATAGACTTTCCATAGTGTTCTACGGTAGCTCATACAAACAGAACCTTTGAAAGCATATCAGGGTGTTGATGATCTTTCTGTTTCTTATATAATTTGTTTCACAATTGTCAGCTTAGAGGTCTATTGATTTCAATATACAAGAATATACAAGGAATTACACTGTGATGTCTATTACATTGAAAAGAAGAATTTAGAACATCTCATGATCTTTGCACGCATTATATATATATATATATATATATATATATATATATTGCAAATAATGTTGCTTTTAAGTTGGGCATGAACTGTTTCTTCCAACTCTGACATCGGTTTTTGACAAAGAAAATGTTTTCTGTAACTTTTTCATTGCCATAAATATCTCGAACAAATGAAATCAGTAAAATGAAATTATACCACTAACGAGCTTAAGCAGTACAGTGCAACCTGCATTACCCTGAGTTGAGCTAGTGGAAGCTCAACTCAGGGTGACGCAGTCTGTGAATTTAGTGAAAAGGGGAGGATCCACATTACGATATGTGGGGAAATCATCTTTGTCCGTTTCTTAAAGTATTTCCCGTTGAGGGCGAAGAGGTAGGGTTCGGAAGTATACATGTATAATCCATTTCATTATACAAATTATATATGTATATTATACACTGTAAAAAAATTTATTCCTGTCCATTTTATTCTCCAGAAACATCTACATCATAGTCACTCTCTTCTTTAGTCATGACTACCACCATATTCCACTCCTTTTCACGCAGTCTTGCATCTGCACATAGCACTACAAGACCTTCTGCTTTTTTTATCCCAACCTGGCTAGGAAAACCAACCTGTTCGGAAGTATACCGTGTATAATGTATTTCATTATACAAATTGTATATGTATAAAATGTATAATTTATTATACATAAATAGGTATATGGGCAAACCGTACGAAGAGGAATAAAATTCGGAAAGAGATTTGACTTGCTTACTGTCACGTGGTAGGTTCTGAAGGATCGCGTCGTCTAAACGTGGTCAACTGTGCAACTAAGATGGTAGAATACTCGATGATTGAGATCCATACTCGCACTAGTTTCTGAGGACAGAGATTATGTGCGGTCTTGATTTGTTAACCGATGTTTCCCGATCCTATCCAATCCTATCATTGAGCTTTACAAAAAACACTTTTTGGTATAAGACAAGATATGTCGTTTCGTGGTCACTTGTGCCACTACTGTTAATGTTTAACCATGTGGGATACCGGACACACCAACAAATACCGTAAGGAGCTGATGGGATAAGGCATGGAGCAGCAAGGTCCATACCAGGAGCAGGTCGACAGATTATTCTTACGGCTTGCACATCGGGACAGTTTAAGTACTATACCCAACATGTGTGAGATCTGATACTCATGAAGAGACGGTTGAACACCCATAAAACAGATGCATGCATGAGATATTTTTGAAACAATATTTACAAGTATTTCAATATGCCTGGTTATTTGAGCATAATGAAAAATATAGACCTGTGGATGTTGATTATCAGGAAAATAGAAACTAGTTCGTACGACTTGACTTCTAAAACTCTCGCTTACATTTCTCTATGGATTTGATCTTCTTCGTCCCAATGTGCATACGATGTGATCTTGAACCAAGAGGATTATTTGAAAGAAATAACAGAAAATGCATAGAACATTTATACTACAATAAAAACTATAGTAAATATACTTCTTGGATAGTGAATGTAAGGAGACAAGATAGAGGAGTTTGTTGGATGCGATCCACGTCACCGACAATGACAACGTGTTACACTTCAGTTCCTAGAAGTCACCTTGCTCCAAGCCACATGGACAAACAGGTTTGGATTGGAGCCTTCTAAGGATAGCGCGCACGTCAACTCTTTATTAATAGACTTACACATAGAGCAAACCCTATGATATTGGGAACAATTTTGTTCCAGATCCAGGAATTTTTTGCTACGAAAGGAAGAAAGGTCTTCTGAAAGCATTGTAACCCTTACAAACCACGAGGAGAAGAGAATATCAGAGAGTAATTACAGGTGGGCATCCCTAGCCAGAAAACGGACAAAGAATATTAAGAGAGTCGGGCAACACGACAGATCGGACGTCACGACCGCACGTGCTCAGTCGTGGCGAACACGCAAGCGCTTTGTAACTACCATAGCGACAGAGAGAATTGAAATCGGGAGCGGATGAAGAGAATCGGTGAGCCGGCCGAGTGAAGCCACGCTGTGGCCATCATGCCGATAAGAACCAGTGGCGGGTCTTTAGGGTACAATCGAGGACTAGATCGAAGCACTCCGATGAGCCGAATGAATGCGCCGCAAGGGATTTAGCAACCTCCCGAATTGGATCTAACCTCTGGTTCACATTTTCGTTTCATCTTTGTACGCTCTATCTAGTCTTCTGTGGGTCTCTTGATTACACAGTTGCAATTTTCAGCATGAAGAAGGATAAATCCGACATGTTCGCAATTACCGTCATCGTTGTCGGATTTAAATGCTTACACTTCCAGGTACAGATGTACAATACCGCATTCTCGTATGATGCAAAGGCTCTTTTACGTGAAAAGGGCGATTGCATGTTGTCCAGCGTTTATGACTGATTTTGCCATGTCTGTATTGCTTTGGTGCTGAAGCGGATGAAGACGTCCAAGAAAAGGGTTCTTGGTATTGTATCTTCCTTACGTCTTGAGAGAGAGTGAGAGGGGTGATGAAGTTGGCTTTTGTAAGGATTCGATATACCAAAAATCTTTTGATTCCAGAGAGTGATAGAAAACGCTACACCACTGAAAATATTTTTTTCTTTATGTGAGAATTATCTTCGATACTCTCCAGTATGTGTTTGCCACTTCAAGGAGAAAACTAGTTTCTTTTTTTTTTCTAGGTAGCACTTGCTCAATATTCATCATGGAATCTCAAAGCTGAGGAGAATTAGTAGATTGTTGGTCTTGCGTCAAATGAATGATGTCAACAAAGGGCGACGCAGGTCAAAGTCGTAGAAGTTACTCATCCTGAAAACGCTACTTGGAGAAGGAGGGCTTCGGCTTTTTAAGCAAAAAGCTAGATGACTCCCGAAAATCTGAAGTATAGCGATGTGTTGATGTGGCATACCACATAAGGCGTCTAACAGTGACCTTCATGCAACGAAGAAAACACCAAAATCATGGAAGCTGTCAAAGTCGTTGGAAGTTGTCCATTAGAGTTTTTAACTCATGCGCTCGGAGAAGCACCAACGGATTATAAGAAAATATAATGTAGCCGTTAATTGTTTTCAAACCTTCTTCTGAAATCACCGACAAGAGTATCGATACTATAAGTTAAACGAAGATGGTCATAAGCTTCTAACCTTTATGCAAAAGCTTCGATGATAGAATAATAACTTTATAACGACCGTGATTGAATGAAATATACTTCCACTGATACTCTAAGGTGGGGAGTGATACAGAATGTTCACTTTAGGTGGCAAGAATAAATATTCATATGTGAAAGATAACTCTAAATTATAATTAATCTAGCCTGGATGGATGCAGGATGTAGAAGTCAAGAGTACGATCACGTTGACGTCTTTCACCGTATGTATCAAACAAATTACACCAATTCGTTGATATCTATCAGAAGATCGATGAAAGCGTGGGAGTGATGAGCATCTCAGACGGATTAAGAGGTTTTGTGTTCAATGCTTGTGTATGCATTATCGTGAAGTGAATGCATAGGTATTGTGCTTGTTCACTAACCCTTTGCATGCAATTCACGGTAGTGCTGGACAAGCATTTTGTTTATGAGACGGATTTTATGTTTAAAGCTTGTCTAGCATGATCGTGAAGTGAATGCAAACTTAGTGTGTAAACTCGATACACCTTTGCATGCACTTGACGGTAGTGCTAGACATGCATTTTGTCTTTCACTCCATACTCTAGAACGTGATCATATGGACGGGGTAGCATGATCTTTATTTTATTATTTACATCTTGATGATGCATCATAGATAGAGGAAGATGGTATCCATGTAAGTAATTAACTCAAGATTGGGTGAAATTTAGTTATTTTCACTTTGGTTAACTAATTAAATTGATTACTTTTATATAGAATGCTGACATATTCTCTCCTTGACATTCTAGACAGCTTGTGTCCTCATGGATGTACAATCAATAAGAGTTAAACCAAATATCTCTATTTGTTGAATATGTCGGATGTGTATGTTTAAATGAACTTTTGCATCTAACCTATCAATGGTATTATAGCCAACTTTATGGTCTAGGAAGCACTGTTGACAAGTCAAACCTTGGCAAACAAAAGCGTCATCTTAGTTAACCGTGGGGTGTGGAAAGATTAAAAACTAAAAATCTATTAGAAGTTCATGTGATAGTTACATGTCTAAAGTTTGATTTAATGATCTAAAGTCTAGATTTGTTAGTTTCAAATATCTTTGGCACTCGTTTCTTTTTATGTATTGAGCGTGTCATTTAATGTTTGTTGGGAAACTTTAGCAAGATTAGTTGCACATTCAAAGTTTGCTTGCTTACTTAATAGACTTTCTAATGTACAAGATATTCTAATCTTTTTCAATTGATGTGGGTGTTGATGATCTTAAAAACTTCAATGTCTTCGTTCCCATTAATCTTGATTGATGATGGAGGTGTTGGCAACAGTCTTGGATTTGTAGATTTTTTATATGGCTCAATCCAGTAAACATGAAACATTAGATGAATTTTCATAGATGATGATTATTTTCAATGTGTGCTACCTCCTTGATGTGCTTATTCAAAAAAAGATCCAATGCAACAATAGTCAAATTTGTCGCTCAGTCCGAGAATATTCAAATTATGGTGCAAAAGCCAGACTTTTTCTCCAAATGAGATATTCATTTTTTTAAAAAGATTTTTGCATCTGTCTTTGAGCTATTACAAGCCTCGCATATTTTGTCTTTATGAATCTTCAAAATTCTGGTTATAAGATCTTGTGTAGCTTGATTCTTTGCCAAACTCAAGTTCAAAAAGTCAAATTGTGGATAATATATATAGTTCTCGAAGAATGGAGTTTTGTGGATGAATTCTTATGATGTATTGTTCTATGCAAAGTTTGCATTAAAAAATAGACTCAATCAATTGTCTTAAATGTATGTGATGAAGCGTCTTATTTATTATTTCAATACTTGATTCATTTGTTTGATTTTTTCATCACTATGAGTATGATACACCAATCATAGATTGATCTTCATTTGTAAGATCTTAATTATCAAAACTTGGATCTAAATTGTGTATCACAATTCAAAAATGATGTCGTTGAGAAGTCCATGATATTTGTATACCAAGAGAATTTGTGTTGTTTTTTGAACTCTGTGAGTTTTGTTGCAAGGCACAAAATCTGTACTCTTTGTCAAGCGATCTCTACAACAAAAATTTGAATTAAAGGAGGTAGGATTTTGGAAGGTTCACAATGAAGTTCATGGGCATGGATGTTCATGAGATTTTTGAAATTGGCAGCAGTTGAAGTAAATTTATATGGATGACGAGGTATATTGAATTGAGCAGATATAACATGTTTTAGATAATATTTCATGAGATTTCATATTTTGTGATCATTAAAAATCTATGAATTTCAGCTTCATGATCTTCTTGGAACCAAAGTGTCACGACAACGTAACGTGGCAATGAGATCATAGGTTATGTGTGGGCATGGATCTTTAGGAACATGAAGTAATCTTTGATAATATAATAGTTCAATTTGAAATTGGACTCGTGAACTAACATCATCTTGGGATGTACTTTGAGGTCTGAAAAGCGTGAACTGAATTTGGATCAAAACGCAAATTTTGAATCTATAAGGTCTGAATTAGAGACTTGAATGTCCAGATTGAATATTTCTCCAAGATTAAAAATCCTGCATAATTCTTGAGTATCAAGGCCAAAGTAACCAAGTGTAAACTTTATTGGATATTTTGTGAATAAACTACATCCACCAAAATTGAATCTTGTCATGGATCATATGATTGATCTAGGTAGAAGTAATTTTTTGCAAGTGAAAGACAACGTGATGGAGGTATACATGTTTGTTGTATTATGAAAATATCATTCAAATGGCAAAATCAGAAACATCTGTTTTTTAAATGTTTGTTTTTGCAAGTCAATTGAATCATTAGAGCAAAGATCTTGGATGAATTTTGGATGAAAATTTGATAAAAGTTTGCAGAATCAAGAGAGTATTATATGTCTTGAATGATAATTGGTTCATCCAATCGGTGATGATTTGATTTTTTTTTATTCATGTATAGATACTATGTAGAAATGATTTAGCCCAAGAATGTGATTTAGAGTTGATGGAAGACACATTTTTCTATTCTGAAGTAGAATCTAATAGTGGAAAACTTCTTTAATACTAGGTGGACATGATTGATGTGACTACTTCTTGATTATTGGAAAAAATCAACATGTTATCAAAATAACAAAAAACAAAATAGTCTAAAATTTTTGCAGTACGTTTGGCGTTCATCAAGTTTTGAAAGATGAAAGGTGAGTTGATACATGACATTCATTTCAAGAAATTCATTTCACAAAGAACATGACATTATATTCAAAGTGTCCATAGCTAGTTCAAAACTCTGTCTTTCATTAGACGGCTTCCTTAATACACATTAGTTTATACGCTTCACAAAGATCAATCTTAACATGAATCTTTGCTTGATTGAGTTGATCAAAAAATCTTAAGATAAGCAACAATGAATACATGTTCTTGATTTTGACCTTGTTTAGTCCTTAATAGGGCAAGGCATCCAAAGACAACCAAAATTTTTCTTGACAAATAGTGTAGATTTTCCAACATCTCACTTGATTTGTTGAATAAAGTTGTTGAAGAATAGCAAAAGTTGTAAGAATATTGCAGTGTATCAAGTTTTTTTTAAAATATGTTGTAGATTGGATCAAAGAGATACTGCACATTTTCTTGAAGTTTAATATTGCAATTATAAGGCCGATGTTGAGGAAATGTATCAACGTTATGAATTTTTATACACATCTTGATACTTTTCATATTTTGCAAGTAACTTGGGTGGTTTTTGAACATGTTGAGATGTCAAAATTGCATAAATTGCAAATATATTCTCATTTTTGGCAATTTTCATAAAGTCTCGGACAACAAACATCAACAAAACTTTGACCTTTGACCCTTTGACTTGGTAAAGACATGAGTTTGGAATATTTCTAGTAAGTCTAGAAAAATTATAAAAAATTATTGTTTGACATGTTAGCTTTTGTTTTTTCCAATCTATATCCAAATTGATCAACCCTAACCAAGAAACATCTTGGGCAAAAATACTAGAGGATGAACTAATGATATTGAATACAATAGTACTTTCGTGTCATTCTAAGATAATGTCTAAGGTTTTAGTTTTGTAAATAATATTTTCTAGAATCAAAGGCCTATCATCAATAATATGTGGGGTTAAAAAGTATTTTTCAGCTAAAAATTATGACATTTTACAAGATTTTTATAAAAAAAATAGATCATTAAAAATCTAACAAGTCTTTCGGAGTTGAGTTGTTAGAGTCGGAGATTTGGAGTCTAAAATGCTCGTTGGATGAAATAACATTTTAAGCAGAATATTAAAACAAAAAAAAGTTTCAAAGTATACAATAGTATCTGATGATGTGGCAAAACTTTTCAGTCGCATAGTTGCCAATTTGACTAGTAGTTGTTGTTCTTCAACCATGCCTTGACTTATAAGTGCTTGAGATTTACAAAAATTTGTGCGCTTTTGACCCGAGGTTTCACAAGATCAGGCAGTTGTTTAAACTTTGGTCCTTGTCTTCAGAATAAAACACAAGTGATTCAAAATGCAATCGTTGTAGTTCTGCAACGTATGCTACACCCGGGCCCAATGGTTGTTGCAATGTTTAAAGTTGGGTTCTTGTTAGAAGTTTTCATTTCTTTTTTGCCAAATGTCATGCTGAATGTTGATCAATTCTTCCAAGAATTGATCAGCATCTGCCAAAAATGTAAAATTTTGTTCCAATAGTGACAAAAATAAAAATCATGCAAATATGTGAACAGTAATATAATGAATCCAAATTGTGTTTTATTTTGTCGAGTATCTATGTGATTGAAGACAAAAGACAAGTCAAACTTGATTGGAAAAATCTTGAAGTTTTGTTCAATCTCTGTAAAATTATTTTTTCTACGTTTTTTATTGCGTTTGTGAAACTATATTTGCTACAAAAGCTCGAATATAGATTGGAGCATGAGAAACTTGGATCTGTTTCATGGCATTTTGTAGACTAAACTTATTTTGTTGTAGTTGTTACAATATGAAAATCACGTCTTACATTTGTATGTTGAGAATATCATTCATAAAGAATTTGATATGCTTGAAGATTCACAAGTTAGTGAAATTTTCACGTCGTGTACTCTCAGTACGAGCACAAGAATTGAAGCTCAAACTTTGGAGATAAGATTTAAAGTGCATTTTTGGTACACTGCTGCGGATGACCACTCTATGATAGAATGAAGGACTAGATTGAGGTATTTTTTCAGAGGAATATTAGAATAGATCAGAAGTGAGTAAGTTCATCACACAAGACTCAGAATAGCACTAGAAGTGAAAAAACTAGAAATGATATTGACAAAAATGAAAAAAACTTGAAGTAGTATTGATAAGTGTAAAAGTAAATACAACTAGTGTTGACAAGAGTAATAGACAATGTTCTTATACTCTCTATATATAATGTTATGACACTACTAGCAACTCTAAAGTTAGAAAGAGTCACATACTCTGAAGTTGGGACTGCCTCAACACTTTCACTACTATTGTATGTCGCGTCCATGACACTACTGCAAAATGTAAATTTGGTTTTAGTTGGAAATGTTGGAAACTTAAGATACCAATTATGATAGCATTTTTGAGTTATGATTATACTTATGAGTGTGATGATAGCGTTCAATGTAGATATAAATAAATAAATATATATTTTGAGATAAAATTACTTACTTTTATTATATTATAATAAATTACTTGTTTACTTACTTTTAGAGTTGTATTGAATCATTCATGCAAATTTTTGTGTGAGTTCAAAAAAGGGTTTTAGGCGAGAGCATATTATATTGACAAATAACTTGTATCAGTTCTTTAATAAAATGTGTATTGTGTAGTTCT